GGGGGGGGGGGGGGGGGGGGGGGGGGGGGGGGGGGGGGGGGGGGGGGGGGGGGGGGGGGGGGTACGTGCGTTGCAGCCCGAAAGAACGCTTGTCGCGAAGCCAACGAAAGCGGGCGGGAGGTTTGACAAAGAGACGATGAGGATGCATCGTGTTCTGGTTGTCTCTGACAGGCAGTACAATCACGAGACCTCCAAGAGCACGTGCGATGAGCCTGCCTCGGCCCGTGATGTCGGGGCCTTAACAACAATCTGTAGAAATGTAGGGAGATAATCAAACCTACGTGAGCACCATGCATTTTGACATCTGTATGGAACATGCCAAACCCAAGATAATGACCCTTTGCACCTCCCGAAGCATCGGGGTAGGCTAACCTTGTGTGTACTTGTCAGTGCATCGAGAATTATGTGAAGTGTTGTTCAATTTGCCTCCTTGCAGTATCTCGCCCCGACTTTTTTACTTGTTCCATCACGCATGCCCGCCATACGCACAACGGGCGTTGGTTGTAAGTTACAATATAATAGTACTCCGTAACTCGTTCGACGTCGCAAATGTACTCGGTGCGACAAATAAGATCGGCAATATATCCGCAGAGTACTGCGACGTCGATAGGTGGAATCGTCATTATAACGTGTTTCAAGAGCCTAGGCGATGTAGCGTCATGCCACCGTACGCATCAAGCCCCGCTGCCATTCGTTCTGTTCGGAAAAATCCTCTGTATAACTTTGCAGGACCTCAAGGCAGCGGAAGCGGATCGGAGGGAGCAGGCGGCGACGGCCATGCAGGCCGCATATCGAGGCTGGGAAGGTCGCCAGATCGCAGCCGACAGGCAAGGGGTTTTCAGTATATTGTTTCGCATTGATGGTCTGACCGGCTGACCGCATGGCCAAGCGCCAGCCTCAGAAGGGACAAACACCTAGAACGCGTGCTGGTCCACGGGGCCCCTCGACAGATTGGAGGGGAAGGAGGAATGGCAACAGAAGGGGAAGATTTAGCCCCCGGGGTTCAGTGCACCTGTAAAAGAAGGCTTCACTTATACCTGTGGTATGTGTCGTTCATTGAATCGGCCGCGTTACCCGGTTGGCCGACCAATCAGCGTCGGTCTCGGCGGAGACGCCAATACAATTGTGGACTGTGGGTGTGCTCCCGCCGCTCCTCCATGGTTGGCGAACAGTGTGAAAGGCGGGACGGTCATCCTGGAACAATTGATGTGTGCCTCAGTAGGCCTCCTACTTCCGGCTGGGTCTCTTCGATACTTCTCTTACCACGGACTCCTGAAATCTATTGCTGAATCGACCGTCAACACAAAATTCAGTGCTATTTAGAGCGGCCGCGCTCTTGTACACACTGGACGACTGCGACGTCTTTCTGAGTTGCGGGTCCCCCAACAGTGCTGGAAGGGGATGTCGTGCGGAAGAGGGTGGGCCGTTGGGTCCAGTCTCCTGAATGACAGCAAAGCATGTAGAATGGTTTGTGCATCAAAGGGTTTCCCTTTTCTACGGACTTTTTTGCTTCTGTTCCACACCAGCCTTTCTATGTTCGTCGTGAAACGGCTATGCAAGTACCTACCCGATGGTCGCGGTAGTCTCTGCAGACTGCAACTCCCATGATCCGGAGCGGTTCCCACTCAGAAGGAACCGCCTTCTGTCCAACCCCCCGTGCCTTCCTTCAGGTGGTGTTCGCCTCCGTAACGGTACGACTGGTAATATAATATACCCTATGCATGCAGTGCATGCGTTCATATCCCCAGGTCACAGACCAAAACCTAGTGGCATGCATGTTGGTACTTCTTCTTTTGCCAGGTCACGACCCAAACCTGGTGGTATTCATGCATGTTTTTTGTTGTAAAAGTCCTTCGTTTTGCAATCATACCAACCTGCCGTCAAACGCAACGAGCATGCGCCCGCCGCCCGCCGTGGGTGTAGGTAGGCTGGTCGTTGTTCTGTTGTTCACGCCTTTACACGACCACCATCCCTCTACACCACAAACGAACAACACGGCAGACGTGCCCGCGTGGAGGCGGCGACGTGCATCCAGAGTCAGTGGAGAGGGGTGCTGGGGCGTCGTCGGGCGACGGAAGAACGTTGGAAACAGCTACAGGTGAGTTGTTTTTCCCCGCACGTACATATGCTGAAAGAAAAGGGGCTCAACAATGCTACAGGGAGGGTCGACTGGAGGAACGATTGCACGAGAGTCGAGTTCCCAAAACTCATCCACAGGACTAAGACATTGCAGAAAAGAAAAGGGAGACCGGGAGGGGGAGAGTGATTCGATTGTTTCCCACGGTCCCTCATTCTTGCTGCAGACAGGCCCAACTATAGAAAAATCGCGGTGACGTCACATCACTGGCCACCGCCGCTGTCCGGTCTTTGCCTCTCTTCTACTCAAGACGCGTACAAGGCCGAAACCTTCGTAAGGCATTCGCCAAAAGGGGATGCTGGAGCGTGTCCCCGGGTTTCCTTGTCCCGGCCAATGAATTGAACAAGTTGCAAAATTTTCGGGTAATAACAACAGGAAAAAAAACGTGGCAGCGGCGGTAGCAAAGAGCTAGGTCAGTTCCGGGGCTTGTCGCACCGCGTGATGCCTTTCCCGGAAGCAATCCTCCTCCCTCTTGCGTGCCCCCTTCGGCTTAGTTTCATATCACGGCAATGGAATGGGAATCAGGTTCGAACACGGAAACAAAATGCATTGCCTTGGGTTAGCTCGAACGAGCAAGTACGGGCAGAGGTCAGAACGGCTATGATTTGAAGAGGACGACAATAACGACGACGGCAACAACTAACAGAGACAACACATTGAAACAACAGGTGGTGCCGACGTCCTACTCCCTCAAGCTGTTGACCCAACGCAGCCGACACATCCAGGAGGTTGGGGGCTGGGTGGAGTACTTCGACCCCGATACAAGCGCCTTCTGGTACCTTGAAAATGTGAGATGCTACAAGTTTGATGTTGTATGCGCCATGCACAATTCTACCGGATGCGAAGATGGATTTCGTCTTGCATTGGATGCCTCCATGTCTTGTCGTGAACCACGGACACGGCAGAGATAATTAACGCTTGTGAACCGCTCTTTTTGGAAACGATCTTGTTGGCGCGCTGTGCGTGACGCTCGTGTTTGAGCTTCGCTTCCACGTTCCTTGTGGGCGGCCGGGAAAGGCGGGGCGGCACGGGTGGTGTGTAGTTGACGGAATCCTTGATCCTTTGGCTATAGGCGTGCTGTCACATGACCCTGGAAAGATGGTGATACCTGCGAGTGTGTGTATCACGTGTATTGTGCATGATCACCATCAACCGTACAGCAGACAACGTTTCATTTCGGGGGAGTGTATGCGGCAGCGTCCCTTGGTGCTAATACTGAGGAAATCATGTTCTGGAATGTTCTTTAACTCTGCGGGGGGGGGTTTCTTCCCGCCGGCTTCACTGTTTTCAATGTCTAGACAAAAAGGACTCTAATATGTCTAGCATCGCCTAGCAGGTGTCCTAGATTTCCACACACGCCCTTCGGACGGGGAAATATCTCGACCAGAGGGGACTTTCTTTGTTTTGCTGTTTGCGTTTTTTTTACACGATGAGAAGTCGATGTGGCCACACGAGAGTGAAATGTGCGGCATGTCGTCTCTCGGTGAACCATTGGCATCGCGCAGTCGAAAACTGGGCGAACCTTCTCATATTTTTGCTGCTGCGGACGGACTTTCGTCGTCAGCAGCTGCACTCTCCACGCGAGAGATGACCCTTCAGTAGGTTTTGGTGGTAGTCTAGGGGATCCTTAAACCGGTTCACAAATGTAGGCAAACACCAACAAACCTATAGCTAGAATACAGATTCACTTGTCGGAAGATTGTTCCTCTTTGCCTAAAGCTAGGCGGCTTTCCTTTCCTCTCGTTCGTTTCTTGCTTGTTTGTACGATGTTCGCGTTCGACGTTTCTGTTGCAGCCTACTGAAGTTTACACAGATATGCACTTGAAATTCAAAGGCTAATTCACGCAAGGTCCTTCCGACCTGTACGTTTTGCGCCAACAACGTGCGCTCCGATTGTAGTCCACGAAGCGCAGTACGTGGAACGCGCCGAAGGACTTCTCGGACTCGATGACGTGCGTGTGGGACCCGTGGCCAGTGCCTTACTCAAGCCCCCTCGACAAGCCCTGCCGAAAGGTTTTTACGTGAGCTATTTCTTGTGTAGCACCTTTGACAGCCGTGCTTTTAGCTACGAGGTGTTTTGCAGATGGGGTTAGCACCGGTTAAACCTGTCCAAGAGCTATCCCGTAGTAGCATTCACTCCTACTATCACGTCTACTACAATCACTACTTCTCCTGCCATGCCTACTGCTTCAAGGATGTGGTAGCTGGTAACGACGTCAATATCTGGATCACGTGGTTTTGCAACCATATGCCAGGCCAAATGCCTCTCTCTCTCCGCATGATGGAGTTGCTGTGTTTGCCGGGCGACTGCAGGCATGGTGGCGCATGTAACGTTGTCAAGTCATGTCTACCATGAACATGACCAACCGCCTCCTGTGCATGCATTTGATTATGTGAGCTTGTACTTTTCGACTGCTGTGTACGAAATTAGGTTGTCGCCCGAATACGCTCCTCTTCTTTTGCGTAGCGCTGGGCTGTTGGCACACGTTATTGACCACCACATACACAAGGCGACTTCATGTACTCATTTCCGTGATGCTGACTTACCTTACTACCAACGCCTTTCTAAGTAAGGAAACACCGCGCTTGGGCAATTGCTCTATGCCGGTCGAATACAGTTCGACCTTCACCCTAACCTTGGCACCTGAACAGCCCCCGCATTTTCTCCTGCCGGCGGACGTGCTTGCGAATGCAAAGCCCTTTTGACACCCCCCTACCGCCCTACCTTCTCTTTACGCCTGCTAACATGCATGCAAACCGTGCGCACTGCGCGCACGAACATGGTACGTGTCAACGTCGTCGTCGTCGTCTCTCAGAAACATGGCCGAGTTTCAGGCCCACAGGCTGAACGCGCACCCGTGGCAGTGCGCCTCTTGCGGACAGCGGAACTCCGGGATGACTTTTCCCCGGTGCGACCTATGCGATAGCAAGGTACCTGTACCAGAGGCATGTGTATTCTTACTAGGTATCGACCGTACTCACCGGCTGACCAATGAAATTACGACAGTCTCAGTGCGGTTGAAAACAAAAAATGCTTCTACGGGCGTGTGTGTGTGTCTGCCGTCCATTCTCTTCTGGACGTCAGTCTTTTTGCACCTTTCGGGGGTAAGCTAGTTTTGTGGACGAACCAGCCGGTGTCGCGTTGGTGGAGGGATAGTGGACAGAATGGAATAGTCCAAGCCATCCCACTTACAGTGGCTCAATGTCATAATACCAGCTACTACCAGGGATGGTGATAATAATGGAGTGTACGTGCTAATGTAAAGCTCTTGACTGCTTTTGGTGTCTGACGAGACATGTATGCCCCCCTCCCCTCTCTCCCTCGAAACGACCGAAAACAAAAAAAGGTCGGGCCGGACGGGCAACATCTCGAGAATGATGTGGGGAAAGCCGTTCGGGCGGCCTTCCGGAAAATGAGGTCTGTACTCTCCTCGCATACAAATATTTTCACCCACTGGTGACTAGTTTTGCTTCTTTGACTTGCGCGGCGGCAGTGCCAAGGATCTTGTTATTGTGAGCGAGCACTGAGTAGTAAGACGGCTGGTTTGCTAACGTTAGCCTAGAACACGTGCGAAAACCGCCACGATCGTTGAGGTGAACGCTTTAGTATCTGTATCGCGCACGCGCAGTTCTCTACTGGTGTGCCATCATTTGTTTGCTTCCGTCGTTCTCTCGACAACGGAGCAACCCAAGACCCCATCCTCCGCAAGCTTCACCCGAAACTTTCTCCACCGAAGCG